CTCGGGGACTCCGTAAGTGTGACGTCTACTTCGTGCTAGCTAATGACAAACATATAGGGGTACTTTCTGCAGAGAGAGGCTGGGTTGTTTAAGGGCTCAGACCTGCAGTGTATGTCATTGCTCTACCCTTTTGCTCTTTCGGTCTCCTACCTCTGCTTCAATTTACTTCACATTTCCATTATTCCTATCTCAGATTTTGACTATTCATAGCTCACCGCCCTTCTACTGTAACATATTTTTCATTGTTGTACAGCCTGCTACCGTTGATCTAATGAAATTTGTGCTTTTCTCTGTTTGACACAATCTGGACGCAAATTGGATGAAAAATGTGCTCGAAATTAAGGGGAAATCCTAGAGGACTGGTTGCACGGAAAATGGATTATTTTGGCTACAATAAACTGCTTAAATTTGATAAACACTAACGAACGGAAAACCAGACGTTCCTGGGTTGAATTGAGCCCGGTAGACACCGGTCGGAATTCCCAATATTCGGGTCTATATTTCGACCGGTGGTTTCGTATGGTAAACGTACATTTTGAGCCGTCTGGCGGCTGGAATACATCCGTCTGGCGTACGAACCTACCGGTCTAATTTAGGCCGGTCTCGCACTCCCAGAGGTCCAAGACGTAGCCGCGAGATCGTCACTCACATATATATATAGTTGCAGAATGACAAAATGTACTTTGGCCACTAGTGCACAGCTCAACGTCCAACGTCGTTGCATCGAAATTTGTACAGACCTGAAGTCAACGCAGACTCAAAGAAGACAACCCAAGTGAATCGCAGAGCGAAAAGAAAGAGGCGCAGAGTAGACGAGAGATGAGATAAGAACAAGAGCGCTTGTACCGCGCCGACGTCTACCCAAACGAAAGAAATTCAAAATTCAAAAAAGAGACATTCCACAAGCGTATGCCACCTACCCGGATCGAACGAGTGATCTCTCCGTCTCTTCTCCATGGAGATACAAGCGGAGCGCCGTAACCACTTAGCCAAGGTGGCACATTGACTGTGGAAATACATTTGACTAACATATCTTGGATTCTTAGCTTTCAAAAGCACGATCGACTGGAGTCACCATTTTAACTTTACCTGGGCCCTATACCTTGTTCTCTTCGCTGCCTCCGACCTCCTGCTCCATGTAGCCGCGAACTGCGCGCGCATCTCGCATTATTAGCGCATCCTAAGACGAGCCATGTCCTCTCTCGGAGACGCTTGGGACGGCAACAGAACTCGGGCTAGAACGAGCTGGCCTCGGGCTTACGGGGTGGCATGATCACGACTCGCGACCTAGACTACGCTCGCTCGGTGCTTCTGCAACCAAAGCTCCTCAACAATTCCATGTCTTTTGTCTTTCTCGCTGTGCAAGCTCCATCCAAACTGTTCAGGCTGCCCAAGACCAGAACAAGTTCGCGCTCCATCACCTGGAGCGCGAACCACATACACATATCCATATGGACACTCGCCTGATCCACGGGAAACATCTAATACAAATACCTGTTCTTTATGTCCACGAGGGGCCAGCTCGAACGCCGCACTAGGCTGTCCCGTGGCCAGGCTATGTATAGTGTGGGAGGGCGTATAAAGGCTGCAGCCATGACGTCTTGAACGGCTTACCTCTCCTGAACGCCCCGTTGACCGCTAGAAAGTCATCTGCTATGCTCTCGCTCTCCCGCCCTGCCGCTCCCCGTGTCGCGCCGACCCTTGGTAGGCGGTACGCACACAAGGAGGTCGCGGTTGTGTACCCAGTGCGTATCTAGTCCCTCGTCTCTGCATCCTTTATCTACTTCGCCCATCTGTCTTCTGGCCTTACGCCACCTTTACCTCTCGCTCCCTGTATTTCTCTTTCGTATACCCACCTCACCCGTCCCTCTCACTGCTACGTTAACCTCTGCACTGTCCCGAAAGCTGACTAGCGACCGGCCCCCAGCACACCTTCCCCTTCTCTTACCGCAACAAGAACGCCTTCCGCGTCAAGTTCTTCGTCTTCTGCAGCACGGGATTCTTACTGCCCTTCATTGCCGCAGGGTATCAGCTGTACGTTTCCTTTTCTGTCCATGTCGCCCACGTTTGAAGGCTCCTACCTACCTTACTCCCTTCTCCGTGTTACGAGGACCTTTTGGACTGACATCGTGTTACCATGGTGTAGGAGAAAGTCCGGTGCACCTGCCCAATGAAAGCATTCCCCAAACCACCATACCTATAACGAAGGACGGGAGGAGACGGATGTAGACGATCAAACTAATTTATTTCCAGCACCCAGCAACTCGATTTTGTACCATAGAACTACGAACGCTCGTCTTCTGACACTAGTCTCATTGTCCCCTTGGACCTCAAGCATTCCCGGTGTACACCGATGACTGTTTACTCGGCAAGATACCTCTGTCAGAGAAGACCTTTAAAGCTGTGAATCTATATCTCGACACTGCCCTGCAAAGTCTAGAATGCTGTCTGTTGTACCTGGTACCTTGTAAGGCCCGCTGTAAGTGTGAGAACGAGGTACAAAGTAAGACAAGGAAAACAGGACACTTGCGTTACAGATCATCGTTAGACTCCCTTCGACAAGGTGCGCTCTGTTTATCTGAAGCAACGAGCAATTGCCAACTCTCAGCGTCAGTATCAGGCGAACGAGAAGTCCGAGTCGGTGGCTTGTCGAGTTCTCCGCATACGCAAGCGCCAATTAGAAATTGAACATCTGAATGTAGCATCCCTGATGCTCATCACTATCACGTCGCGATGTGTCCTACGGTGCTATGTAACGTCGACATAGCATGAGGGGACCCTCAATTCAGCCCGACACAGCTCTGTCCAGATATCGCGTTATTTTCGGTATTCGAGCGCTCATTGCTGTCTCGTGAACAGATGTACTAGGATCAGCGACGTTAAAATAACCCAATCCCCTTGTATTTCGAAAGGTACAACTCGCTCGCCGTCTTATCTTGGGCGTCTACCTTTTGTTCGTGAACTATCGGGACTGCGCTATCACCAATTACGGTGAGTCTTCTACCCCAGGGCGTGCCCACAATTCGCTTCGAACAGACACGCGGTCGCGTTATCGGCATAGCTCTTGTACAGCTTCCCGTTCAGGATCACAGCTGCTAAGGGCTTAAATAGAGGCCATCCCTCCTTGGAGCACTAACACACCCACTTCTCACTTCTTTGCACATCTCTCAGTAACGTCCATCTGCTACCATGCACAAATTCGGACTTCCTGGACGCAACAAGAATCGAGGGACGACTACTAATGCGTCCCGTTCGTCTACCGAGAGTTTCCAGAGCACGCAGAATGCAGGTTCTGGCACTCCCGGCGGATCGGACACCAACGCATCGGATCTGAACAACAGCGAGTACGCCAGGAAGCGGCGGCTTCTCAACCAACTTATGAAAGACCTCAAGGCCCTTGGGTGCGTGCTCCAGGGACAAGGCGACGTGTCGTGGCTAAACGATGCTACAGGGCGCAGGCTGATCTTCAGCTTCCGCGGATTGCTGTGATCGGCGCACAATCAGGTACGTGTGCGGTGCTGAACTTACGCCAGTCGGCGATGACGGTATTCTAGCCGGCAAGAGTTCTCTTGTAGAGGCTATCAGTGGTGTGGGTAACCATTTCTGCGATTATGTGGTAATAGTTGGCTGATGCCTACCGCACAGATAAATGTCCCTCGCGACAGCGGCACCTGTACTAGGTGCTCAGGTTCGTTGTTCTGAGATACCTGTATCTGACATCAGTTCTTATTGCAGATGTCCGATGGAGTGCACCCTCACCTCCGACGACACCTGGTTCTGCCAAATAAGCCTCAGGTTCGATTACGATGAGAGCGGAACGAAGCAGCTGTCCAAGGACATCAAGTTTGGGCCAGTCATCACGGACAAGAAAGACGTGGAGCTGTGGCTCAGACGGGCGCAGGCCGCTATATTGAGTACTCGCACGCCTCCGAGCGCTTTCTATGGTTTGTCTCGGGAGGATATACGCAACGCCATCAAGAACGACGCCACTATGGCCCCATTTTCGAAGAACGTGGTTTGCATTGATATACACGATCCTGAAGCCACGGATCTTGCTTTCGTCGATTTGCCTGGTTTGCATTTCGCAGTTCTCCGACAGTATTCATTGTAACCTTGGTCTAGGATTGATTCAGATTGGGGAGGGGATAGACCTCATCAAAGAACTGGTTGAGGATTACATCGCCGAAGAAACCACATACATTCTTGTCACCATACCTGCTAGCGGTGATTCGCATTTGCTATCTACACGTTCTGCAAACACCTCTAATGTCTGGTCTTAGATGACATTCAAAACCAGCAGGCTTTGAAACTGGCCGAGGAGGCAGATCCTGATGGCAATAGAACGATCGGTAGGGCCTTACACTCTCATTGATCATGACAGTTCAGCTAAGAAGGCTCCCCAGGTGTTGTAACGAAGCCAGATTCCGTTGTTGACGGCGACATAGGCGTAAAGGAGCGTTGGCAGAATGTCTTTCGGGGCGAGGCAGAAGACCACGACCTCCTTCATGGATACTTCTGCGTCCGCCTCCCTAATGACCAGGAACGATCGCAGACGCAGTCTCGTGCCCACGTTCACGAGCGCGCGTGTCGCTTTTTTGATAGCGTCGCACCCTGGAAGGACGTATCGGACCGTTCCAGATTGGGAATCCCAGGGCTGGTTGCTTATGCGAGTAGCTTGCTTATGGCACGTGTCGAAAAAGAGTAAGCTGCTTTCCTACTCTTTCTCTATGTATATGTATTCACATCATTCGCAGCCTTCCGGACATCAAGAAGAAGCTCGAACAGCTTCTGGCCAGATACGGCGACCAACTATCCATGGTACCTCCTCCTCTGGAAGTTGACCCGGCTCTGGAGATCCTGGACCGTATTACAAAATTCGTCAACGAGCTTACCGCGACGGTCAACGGAACAACGTCCGAAAATAAAGATTTCGTTCAGCGCAACAGAGCCACGTACGATTGGTACAATTTGGCCATTAGGAGCACTGCGCCGGACTTCAGACCAATCAAGGAGTACACGAAGTATGGCCGCCCTTTCGAGCCCGGCGCGGAGGACTCCGACAACACCTTCGAAGACGTTGAAGGCGTCGCACAATATGAGACGATGGATCTCTACGCAGTTCGCAAAGTCATCCAAGAGTGAGACTTATCGTGTGTTCCTTCCATATGGCTATTCATAACTACGTATCCCGTAGGAACAAAACTTGGGAGCTTCCATACAATGTTCCGTATGATGCAAAGAAGGCCTTGATCCGAAAATTCGTCATCCTTTGGGCCAAACCGACCAATGCATGTATGGACGGCATCTGGGAGATCCTGTCGGAAACTGTGACCGAGTTATTGAAGTCCCACTTTGGCCAATTTAAAGGGTTAGAGGCGCGTATCGGGTACGTGTATTTGCCCAGCTGGTTGGAGTCCTCTGATAAGAGATAACTAACCTTCCTCTACTCCTCTGAAGACAATATGCTTTCGAAATTCTGGAGGAGGCCAAAACTTCTGCAGTCGCGACTGTCAACGCTTGTCTGAATAGTGAAGCCGGGCGTTTCTACACCGAGAATATACACTACTACTCGGCGACTCGCTCCAAATGGTTGTACCACTATCACGTCCTCAAACGATACCCGGATTGGTATACAGGAGGAGGGGCTGGCGTACCGTTTTCAACAAAGTCAGAACACATCGCCTCCGCGACAGAACAGCGCGCCCTGCAGGCTCTTCGCGAACTAGGTTACGGTCAGCTCGAACGCGAGGATCTCAAGCGCCTTCACCCTCCGGACGCCTTCGAGGACGAGTTGATCGTCATGGCCGACGTTCGCGCATACTTCCAGGTCGCTTACAAGGTCTCCCTATTCTATTTCCTTTGCTCCGTTGCTCGCATTGACGATTTCGATTTATACAGCGCATGATCGACTTTATTCCGCTCAGCATCGATAACAAGCTCAATCGCGCGGTAGTGGCGGATATGCAGCGGCACCTGTTCGAAAAGACGAGTCTCGGGTC